CTCACCTCCAGGCAGGAGGACCAGAGAAGGCTGGAAGCTTGAGACTTCACCAGCCCCAAGAGCGAGGACCACCTGTGTGGCACAGAAGGAGCTGGCCTGGTAGCAGCCACCAGCAACATGGGAGAAGAACTAAGTGAATAGACCTGCACCCACTGGGCCAGATAGGGGAAGAAGGCACTCTTGTGGGAAACTGAATTAGCATGCCAATGAGGACTGTTTTACCATTGTATGTGGTAGACACTGGATCCCCTGTCCAGGGATTCCTTCAGACAGCCAGATAGAGGAGCATCTGGGGTGGTACTACAGGAGACACTGGCTAGCTTTCCAACAGAGACCGCTGTAACCACTTGTACATAGTTCAGGAAGTTGTCCTTGGTTGCTCAGTTCCATCCCATACATCCCCTTACACCATCCAAGTTCAGTCTATGTGACTAAGTGTGAAATCTAGCACTGGTGAAAGTTGGTGATGATGTTTACTTTTTATATACACTTGGAGGACACAAAATGTATGTATTTGCTTTAAATGAAAAAGAAAGGACCTACATTGCTCAAAATTCACCTTTGAGTAAAGTAACTTGATCAAAATTTTCTAGAAACAGAAGTATTCTCAGCTGGTACCATATAGCTTATCTCTTGGGACTCTTGGAGAAAGATTCAGTCTTCCATCTACACTTTTCCCTATGGGGCTTATTATTGATCTCAGAAGATTTTTAAGTAAGCTATATATTGTAGGTTCCAGATAACATACGGTATATGAAGAAACAGGATCTGTTTGATTGGGAAAGGATAATTATTGTTCTGTTCTTCATTTTGCTGATATTTTGTGTTTGTATTATGATTCACAATCAAGATCAGACACCTAAACCTCGGTATACAGGCATGTATAACATGAATTTTAAAGAATAAGTTGGATAAAATTTACTGTTTACTTACAGTAAGTACGGTAATACCAAATTTTATTATTTGGTCTTCTTTTGTGTCCACTTAAATGTTGAAAGTAGGTTATTAAATTTAAATGAGAAACTGATTTACAGGGTTGCATTTATTAAAATGCAAAACTCCATGCATATATAAATGTCTATCATTTGAATTGGAAATGTATTCCTTAAAATAATCATTACATATTTTTTTTTCGCCACATCTTGTATAAGACACATATTAATTTCCAAACATCCAATGCAGCGCAGAAATGAAGCTAAAAGAAAGAAAGCAGCTCTTATGATCAGGCTTAGACTACCACATTGCAGATTTTATTACATTACAGGATACAGTCAAACACAAACAGCTTACTGATAGGAGGAGAAATTAAGGTAAGCCAAAATGATGACTTTGAGCATTGATGCCCCTGTATGTCCTATAAATCAGGCTGGAAGTTGGTTTGGGCAACATGTTGCATTGGTTAATGGCAGTAGAGAAGAGAAAGGTACTTGACTGACCTGGCTATGCTGTCTGCCTCAGGTACTGGCATCATATGATTGTCATCATATGATACTTTAACTGTGTATTTATCTCTGCATTTTGTCTCATTTACATTCTTTTCTATACCTAACTGGATAAGCAAAATAAGGATATCCATGTTGAGGCCTTGTGCGAAAAAAAAAAACAATTAGGGAACCATTGATAGTGATTTCTGCTTTGTATCCCCCAAACAAACTTCAACGTATCTAATATGTGCCCGGTTTATATTCAAATGGGTCACATACTGTAACTAATTCCAATACATTTTTATATAACTACTGTTCTTTCTGTAATTTTTTTTTTACTGTGATTATACAGAATTAAATAGATTGCACTGCACCTGAAGTTAACAACGTTCATCTACAACTGAAAGCCTATTTTATCGATAAACCTCCATTTTGTCAACTATGACATAGCGGTCATGTGGACAGCCAGGGTTGAGAGGCATCAGACACGCAAACGTTTGGTAGTTAGTTCTCAAAGTAGTGATATTTATAAAAAACACTACCAGTAGAGGACTTCATACTGGGGAAAGTTAATATACAGATTGTTGGCAGGTAGTGGTTACTGTATACCCGAGTATCAAATGGAATGACTGAAGTTTTCATTACTTACAGTTTCATTGCATCTTGGGAGACTAATAGATTAAAAGGTTCTAGCCTTTGTAATCTTAAATGGAAAAAAATATTGATTAAATTTTTTTTCAATGTACAGAATTTTTAGTGATTTGCTACAAAAAGTCTATACAGAAACTGCTGAGGTTCACAAAGATCTTACAAAGGAAGCTACAAGGATTACAAAAAACACAGTAAAACAGCAACCTAAAGTAACTTTAAAGGCTCTTTTTGTTTTTTGTTTTTTTTACAGAGCAGCCCTGATCTTCCTCTTCTCGGGTCATCCTCCAGCGTTCCTAGCCCCTCACCCCTGCTGAGTGCTCCAAGAGCAAGCCGCTTGCTCTGGGGGGCACTCATGATTGCTCACTCGCAAGCCCCGCTCTATGTCTCTATAAGCACCCCAGGAATGTGTGCGTTGGGATTGATTGGTTTATTGGACACATAGAATGCATGAAGGTAAAAAAAAACCTTCAGCCTTTACAACCACTTTAAGTAGTGAATGGTCAAACACTATTTTTGGAGAATAAGGACATTGTTTGGCAAAACATACTTTAATTCACATAACATATTATGCAATGTTTATCAAACAAGTAACTATGATTTTGTCTCAGAAATTATATTATTTTAAAAACAAAATATAATTTTTAAATAAAGTTAACATTACTCCTGTCATTAGATGTTGGTTAGGTGAAAATGGGCAACAATATTTTATCTTTTTTTTTTTTTTTGTATCTTCTTATAATAGGTTACTGATCTAAGCACACATTGCATTTTTCACATCTTTAATTTTTCTTCTTCAAATTCCTGATAGAATTTCTTTTTTTTAGTTTTTTTTCTGTCTTACTTTATCTAATTACTTTCAATAATAAGAAAATGAAAAAAAAAACAAATGCCTATTAAAATTTAAGTAATACTTCGCACTGTGGAGTTTCCGAAAACCCATGCTTGCTAACCTTAATGCTTCATAAAAGGCTTTGCTACATAGAAAAAACTACATTTACTATATATACTGTATATAGCTTATCTCTTTTATAAGCAGCCACATCAAGTTAAAATACTAACCTTTAAAGTGTTAGTTCACCTTTACCAAAAATTTGCTATGCATATAAGGAGGGCCTGTAGGTAAAATAAACTGTGCAGCTTTCACTGAAGTTAAATAATTCTCCTTCTGTAGGTGTAGGTTATTTACATACCTACCAAGGCCTGGCTGAAAAACTCCCAGGGATGGCATCACACTGTCTTGCCTTGTTGCTAGGACTTTGCTAAGATGCTCTCAAATTCAGACTCCTTCACATGCACTCACTCTTCCGTCACAATCAGCAATGCTACGATGGAGGAGATGGTGGACCACACATGTGCGGGGGTTTGGGAGCTCACTCCTGTGATGGTGGGAGTGAGCAGTGATGGCTGGGAGTGTCTTAGCAGCATCCTAGAAACAAGGCAGGATGGGATTTTCAATAGTGCCTGTAGATAGAAAACTGTGCAGCATTGGATAATGCTCCTGTTATAGGTGTAGGCCATTTACATACCTCCTGAAGCCTGATAGTTTTTCAGCCAGGCTTCAGTAGATATGTAAATGGCCTGCACCTCTATCAAGAACATTACGCAACTTTGGTCAAAACTACACCGTTTTGTTTCTATCCACACTCACCCCCTACTTGCATAATCAGTTTGGTAAAGGTGAACTAAATCAAAGCACTGTTTTCATCTGTATCAATCCTTAACAGTTGTAGGTTCTATTGATCATTCTGGGCTCTATGGAAAATCTAATACTGCTCTTACTGAAATGCTGTGTTATATTTTATTTAAGGACATAGCAAATCTTATCTTGCACCAGGATTAGGCTTGAGAAGGTGGCTTGTTCTCACAAAAAGTAGCAACTTTTAGTACCTGTTTTGAAGGTTCAGGTGCCACCACTAATTGGGATGTACACTAGAATCCTCCTGTAGCATCTGTGCCTCTGGACTTCTTATTCTGGACATAGTCTTTGTACTGGTTAAATGTGACCAATGAATCTCTTACGTGGTTTTAATGGAGGCTCTGGCACTTTTTCCAAAACAAAATCTCATCTAAAGCCCTGAGGAAGGGGATATATTAAAACATTGAAATCCACTGGCTATGATTACAACATTCACATGAAAAAACATTCATGCTTCCATACCTATATAAGCCTTAGCCCCTCTGAATCGGAGAGGAGAGCTCACTGTTTTTTATATTATGTTTTTTAATTTCCATTGTATGTAAGGCCCCTTTGGGCCATGGTGTGTTGTAAACAAGGTAAGCTTATACTTTACATCAAGATGATCTCTGGTTTGTGCTGTAGTTTTTTTTTCCAGTCCATGTATCTTGACAGCATAGTACCCTCTGATCATGACAACATAATATGAAACTAGAAAAAGGTTTGCATCAATTTCTTCTACATACAAAACTGCATCATTTTAAATAGGAAGCAGATAATCCTGATCTTGTTTTATAAAACAATTTTATAAGTGGACATTTTGAATAATTTTTTAGTGGTTTCTGAATGGAACAGTGTTTTTATTCTTGTACGTTTAAGCAAATGGGACTAATAATTTTAGTTTTTTCCATATGGATTCTATTTTTCTGTTAAGTTGATTTTCAAATGATCAATTGTAAATAAGTAGAATACAAACAATAAACAAAATGTTTAAAAACATGATTTCGCACTTCCTACTCTTGGGAAAATTAAGAAATTAATTTTATCTCGAATCCCCTTTTAAATCAAATGCTTAAGGTGTTTATTTTTTATTTTTGGATTTAGTAATGGAAGGGACAAATATAACATCAATAGATGTATTCCTGTTAATGGGTGTGACCAACCTTTCATGGCTTCAAAAGACATTTTTTGCTTTAACTCTCTCTTTATATCTGCTTAATGTGTTGGGAAACACTGTGATTATATCCCTGGTGTTCCGAGATATTTCTCTTCATTCTCCAATGTATTTTTTATTGGCCAACCTATCTTTTGTAGATATCTGCTTCTCTTCAGTCACAGTTCCAAAGATGATGGTTGGGTTCTGGAAGGAAAACAAAATTTCATTTGAAGGTTGCATTGCCCAGATGTATTTCTTTCACTTCCTGGGGTGTACAGAAGGGATTATTTTGGCTTCCATGGGTTATGATCGCTATATTGCCATCTGCCATCCTCTTAGATACAATGCTATAATGGGGAAGATGATTTGTGTTCTGTTTGTGCTCATTTCATGGCTGATTGGACTTACCACTTCATTGGTTCATGCGATCATGACATCCAAGCTTACGTTTTGCAATAGTAACAAAATCATGCACTTTTTTTTGCGATGTTAAACCAGTAATAAAGTTGGCTTGTGTAGACATCCACCTCAACGAAGCAGTACTGACAAAATGTTCTTGGGTTTTTAAGCACAAGCACCTTTGTTCTCACCATTGTATCATATATTTTTATAATTCTTAACCTTTTAAAAATACGATCATCTCATGGAAGGTCCAAAGCTTTCTCAACATGTTCTGCACATTTGTCTGTTGTCATTTTGTTCTATGGTACAGCCATGTGTACATATCTTGGCCCATCCACAAAAGATAGTATAGAAAAGGACAGATTAGCAGCTCTATTGTTTACAGTGTTCACACCGGCAATGAACCCAGTTATTTATACTTTAAGGAATCAGGAAGTTAAAAAATCATTTAAAAAATTCTTGACTTCATGGCTTTAATATTTGAAATGAAAACAAATTTCAAACAAAATTCCAGCACATATCAGCATACCTGTATTCAGTAATGGAGCATAAGAAAACCAAAAGCAATACACCTGTGAACAAAGTTTTTTGAGTTCTTAGGACATTTTTGATTTTCTGAATTAACATCTTCTACAATATGATCTGATCTTTATTTTGGTCATAATAACAAATAAAGCCAGCTTTTCTTGGCAAACAAGAATCACGGGAAGGACATTTATTGAATCTGTCTTATTGTTGACAGTTGCCAATCTATTACATTTTTATTTGACAATTCTGAGTTTGAATTTAATTACTGAATAAAATAAAAAAAACTAAATAAAAATAGGGTTAATGTTTTGGTCTGCTTGCAACTAAACTGTCCGATTGGTAACGATAATTGCACACAGCTGGTACAGGAAAAGTCAGGAAGAAAATAGTATATAGAATTTCATGCAGACAGAGTGTTTGTGTTTATATATATATATATATTCCCATCATCAACCTAAAAAATTGGCTCTGAAAAGCAAGTGCCTATGTTTCATCTTTATGCCTTATAGTCAAGCACATCAGAAATTCTTTACTTTCTCAGCGATAGTTGGTCCTAAACGCAAAGGAATGATCAGGGATTTATGGACAAATGCTTCTTCTGTCTCCACAGAGTGGGGGCCCAACTTTCTGGAGAAGGGAAGATGGGAAGGTAAGAGGATAAAGGCTAAGGTGGGGACCTGAGTGGGGTAAAGAGATGAAGTGTGGGACTACATCTTGAAAGGGGGACAGGACTGCAAGAATCAAGATACATTAGAATAAGGCAAGTACTCTTCCATGAGTCTATCTACATGTAGAGAATAATAATGTATTCTGGAGAGGACAGAAATTCCAACCAGTCAGAACCTTCTGTGTTCCCAAACAGAGCTGAGGTAAGATCTTCCATATTTATTATGTCATCGATTCTGTAAATCCTCTCAGCTAATTTTAGAAAATCTGTCTGAGGCCACAACACTGAGATGTAGGCTCTGGCTACATTAACCAGGGGAATAAATACAGAACACCGACAAAAATGTTTTGCAAGGAAATGGAGAAAAATTACATTGTAGGAAAACTACATCTTCAAAAAGTATCATTAAAATATGGTGTGTATCAATCAGTGAGTCAAGTGCTCCTGTCAGGGCCTTGCAGGGACATATGCTTCCCATGGTGGCTATTTTTGCTGACCCCTGCTTCAAAGATGTCAATTTTAGGTGATGGTAGCACTGTGTGAGCAGGGGCGGACTGACAACTCATGGGGCCCCCGGGCAATAGGGGATCATGGGGCCCCTGTGTCCTTGCCAAAGCTCAAAATAGCCTATGAAAAATGTACCCGGGGCATCTCATGGGGCCCCCTACTCACCCCGGGCCCTCGGGCAGTGCCCGAGTTTCCAAATGGTCAGTCCGCCCCTGTGTGTGAGTATGCCCACACACACACAGTGCAGGCTCTAAGCCACGAAGCCTTTGCCCAGCCACTACCATGTCACATAGTCAGGCTCAGTGGATGGAAGTGGTGTGCTCAGTGACAATGAGCCTTTAGTCCTAGCAGGCTATGCATCACTGAAGAGGCCTAACTGCTGTGCCTGCCTGTGTGACAGGTTAATGGCCAGGCAGGGAGTGCATAAACACCAAGCCTATGATTTATCAGACTCAGAAATAGTGAGCTGCATTGAGGATGGAGTGTCTGATAGGGACTATTCAGCCTCAGTGATGCCTCCTACCATGCATCAAGAAGTGCTGCCCAAGAAGGACACCTCAATTGGCTCTGTTGGCAGCACAGCCCTGGCTCCTATCAGATGAGCTGTGAAAAAAATATGGATGGTGTTCATTTGGGACTTACTAGAGGAAACAACTGCCTGAAAAAAAAAAAAAAAAAGCTTTGTACATGCTGGCTTAAGACCCATTCATCTTGTGCAACACCAGCACTACTGAACTATTAAAATAATCTTCTGTGAGCAGCTGAGCCCCAATTTGTGCTAAAATTCATCCAGTACTTGAAGAAAACCAAAACCATATTAAAGTAAGAGCATGGCGGCAAACAGTAAAATCATGTGGGGCTGACTACATCACCAAAAACCCAATGGTTATTTAGGCAATATCAAGAAAATTCTACAGCAGAATCATCTCTATGTGAGCCACAAATGAAGTTGGGACCTGCACATCACAATCACAATGATCCAAAACATAGAAACAAATCAACAGATGTTCAAATTAAAAAAAAAATCTTATTTTAGTAATGTACATTATTTTAGAAAGTTACTTTAGATTTTATGGCATTGGTGGTTCATGTGAGGAACAGTAAAAAGGCTCCTGGTGCCTTCCTGTAGCTTGTAGGTTATTTGTAAAGGAAATTTCACATCAGCATACTATCGGTTAGCAATGGAGGATTGGACTCTGTTTCACAGAGGTAATGATGGAACTTATTAATTTCAGCAGTACACTTTTATTGTATTTAAAAGCATATAAATTCAGCAACTTCCCAGCATGGTGCATCTTTTCAGTGGGATCAGCTTATTCTTGAGCCAAGTTCCCTTGCGGGTCTCTTCCAGAATTAGATGTCATTCTGACTTCCCCTGCTAGTCTCTTCCAGCACCAGATCCAGGCCTCACTTCAGGCTCCACTGCTGGTCACATGATCACAGTCCTCGGGATCCTATTTTGGAAGTATTACAACTGTAAAATGTAAAAACACACTTCCTCTGGTGCAGCAATAACTCTCAACATTTGATACAAATAAATAAATTGCAATCACATGCCTCATAAGGACATTAGGCACTTGCTTATTCTGCAATGCTAGTTGCTCCTCCCTCCTTTCTCCAACAACCTTCAACAGTCAAGTAACCTATTTTGAAAGACTGCGCATAGAAAGTGGACCCACCAAACCTTGTGGTGGTTAATTTACCAAAGGCAAATAGATTGTTAACTTTGCAAGAGCAATTGCAAGCTGCAAGGGAATTTTCCCCCAGAGCATAGTGAATTGCAAATGTTGAAGCTGTGTTTACTTCCACCATCCAATCATGTGCAATGCATTTTTTTAATTTTTCTTGCATGTAGTTGGGTATTCTTTGTAAAGTGAAACATCTTGACATGCACTAAGCTCTTGGGCAAGCTTCCAAAGTGCAACTTTCTATGCAAAATACATGGCTTATTTGTCTTTAGAAAATCAACTCCATAGTGTTGCAGATTACCTATTGCTGGCACCCAACAGGCACATCAAAATTGGCAAGCAGTCGATATCCAAAACAAGCTACTAACAAAACTCCATGGAGATTCAACACCTCACTTACTTTGATATTGGGAATAGGTCAAATCCAAAATTAAAATGATAGTAAAGCTTTGTTTTTTTTTAAATTAAGATAATGAACGTGTCATACTTACCTGCTCTACACAATGGTGTTGCACAGAGTAGCCCTGAACCTCCTCTTGCCGGGTTCCTCGCCGGTGATGCCCATGGGGGCACTTGTGCTCCTCAGCTCCACTGCCTGCATCCATAGACAGACAGCAGGGCATGGTCGGCTCCCTCATCACAGTTTGACTGACAGCAGCAACAGGAACCAATGGCTCCCACCGCTATAGATCTGCCCTGTGAGGAGGGGCAGAGCAGGGAGAGCCGCTCACACAGTGCAAAGTGCTGGACTGCAATGGGGCTCAGGTAAGTATAAGGGCGTTCAGGGGGGATGCAAGGCACATAGGTTTTTTTACCATAATGCATAAAATGCATTATGGTAAAAAAAACCGTAAAAGGGTTTCTAAAGGCTCAAGGTTTTTTACTTTCATGCATTCTATGGCATTGGGGGCCAGAAGTGCATGCAGGGAATCCGAGAAAAGGAAGATCAGGGCTACTCTTTGCAAAACCACTGCACAAAGCAGGTATGTATGACATGTTGGTTCTTAAAGTTGTTCTGAAGCCTAAGAGTGATTGTAAAGACAGATTTTTATTTTAATAACAATTTTCAATCAAAATGCTTGAACTGTAACAACAATAACAACTCATACAAAACTATATTATGGAATGTATAGAATGTTGTCCTCGGGGATCTTCTCATAAAACTTGGTGCTCATTAGAAAAAACTATGCAATGCAACAAACACCCATATTCTCTCTATGAATCTATTTTACAACGTTGAACCACTTTTCTTTAGGAAACTCGCCAGTAAGTTTGCCACAAACTTAGAAGCCCTTATAATCACAACTCCCAAGCCTGACAAACCATATGATGTCCTAGCCAATTACAGATCTACTTCATTACCGAGCATGGATGTCCAAGTCTTTGCTAAGCTTCTGGTGCAAAAAAAAAAATGGCCTCTATGCCGATGACTTAATAATCTCCTTGTCTGGCCCCTCCCATTCACTCCCTGCCCTACAAAAGACACATGAATTCTTCAGCACTATATACCTATACCAAATTAACTGTAACAAATCTTGTATGCTGGGTATTTGACTTGACACTACCACTAAAGATTGCGCAACAGCCTCTCTTCTATTTTGAGTGCACCAGGTTCCAATTTGTCCTATTTAGGCATCCAGCTGGTTTAGA